GGGAACTCGAACCCGCGACCGCTGGCACAGCAAGTATGGTCACTACAAACTGAGGCAAACGTGTCGTAAAAGTATGAACGATTATTCGGATAATTTATTATAATTATTTATTTTCCAATATTTAATTATACATTTAGTATATGATATCATTAAATAAATGGAGGATGCACGATATTTTAATTCTTTAGGGGGAGCTATAATTATTATTTGAAGAATATTATATTTGTACAAAAAACAGAAAGCTTTATTATTTGTACTTTATATTCAAAACTTTAATATAGCTTTGTTTGAATTATAAGAAAACATTTAATTACTTTAATATAACATAGAACTATAATCCAAACTATTATTTTAAATGCGGACGTAATTCTGTCGGTCTATCTGTCTGCTTTCATATCACGCTGCACGTTTTCACGTCTAAACAGCTAAACCAATGCTATGCTACCAATCATATCCATCACTAAAAATAATATTAAATACGATACCTACATCAAAACATTGTACTAGGTAGATCGTAAGGCCTACAGAAAAATCCACGATACCATGTGTATATGTATACCTATCTCTTAAAGGTACACTCATACTAACTATTTTTATCTATTGAAAACGTACCTAGTAAATATTAATATAAATGAATTAGCCACAGCTTGTAAAAATATAAAATAGGCTGTAAAAGTAATGTGCTTGACTTAGTTTACATTTCTCACAATTCAGATAAAAAATATATTGAATTATTCATGAAAACATTTACATAGATACCTACTTACATTAAATAATGCAGAAAGCACAAAGCGATTTCGATCGCTTTCTATATAGGTTGGAGTTCCTAGCAATATAATATATAATTTATGATTTTGTATTTAAATCATGTCAAGTATATAATTAAAATTATCTGAAAACTTAAGAAAAATCTAAATTGCTTTAGAATACATATCGTCCAGTCGTACTCTAAGGTTGTAGATCTTGAGGATCTCTCTATCTTGAGGAAACTTCTATGTCTGATTAAAATTATTCAACAGTAAATTTAAAAAGAATTTATTTTTTTACTGAACGTCATGAGACTAGAACGAAAAGACAAGTTCGAAAAGAAACAGCCTGAGTCCAGAGAAGAACGAGCAAAATAAACTAAGTACGATTTGTGGGAGGAGGTGGCGGTGGAGTGAACTCTCACTCACTAGGGACATATTATTTTGCATTATTATTTTATTAATTCTTATGAACAAGTATGGTAGGTACTAAACACTCATATTATAAATGCGAAAGCGTAATAAGTACCTATTTGAATAAATATCTTGTCATCATTCATTTATTTTCTGTTCTTTCTTTATGAAATTGCTTAGTAGAGTAAAATAATTAAATATATCCAAAACACATTAAATTTTAGTTATAGTACAGTCAAATAGGGAATAGATAATAAGCTATAAATTTGCCTTTGTTTTGTTTGTTTTTTCACTTCTCGTTACTTGTTATAGAGTAAAGGTCACTGAAAGGCGTTTTTTTGCAAATATCTTGTCTTTTTGCTCAAAATAAAGTTATTATAGAGCGTACAATTCTTTATGAATTTGATCTTAAGCAATGCCTCTTATGTGCCGTCCAATACCGTTTCTTACCATAAATAAGTGTACTTCTAACTAAAACAGACTCCTGTGATTTAACACTGTAATATAACAATCAAGACATGTTATGTCTGCCAACTAGCTAATGATCGCAAGTTCAATTCCCACATCACATCCCCAGTGTAATCAATGTATAACTTGCAAGAGTTAAATGTTGATATCGACTATATAATCGATGAGTCCAACAAAAAGTGCCTTGATATTGGCTAAAGTGTAAAATGAAGTAAGAAGTTCCTTAATTCATTCTGAATACCCCCTAAATTTTTATTTAAATACTAGCGGCTCACCCTCGCTTCGCTCGGGTTCGTCGCTAGGTACGTTTTAAATAGATATAAAAAGAAAAAATCTTTCTTTCTCACATTTTAATTATATGTTTTAATACTTACCTATTCCGGACTAAGAGAAATCCAAAAATTAAAATATCATAAAAATTGGAACGCGGTCGAACGGGATAAAAAGTATCCTATGTCCTTCTCCTGGCTCTAAACTACCTCCCTGCCAATTTTCAGCTAAATCGGTTCAGCCGTTCTTGAGTTATAAGCGAAGTAACTAACACGACTTTCTTTTATATATATAGATTTAAAGGCATAATATTATAATACAGTATCCCATTTTTCTAATTTAGAATCACAAGCACTAACGATCAAAAATAGGTCACGCGTAGGTATTGTAAATTATAACTATTACAACATAAAAATAAAAAACCCTTGTAGAATAGAAAGAAACCAATGTATTTTTGCTGAACAAACAAGGATTTATGAAACTAAAAAAGTTGAACAGCGCATGTGACAGGTCGAGCTTGTCCATATTTCACAGAGGGTTTTGCTTTTAGCTTTGTTATCAAGTCGGCACACGCAATTCGACAATCACGCCCACGAGCGACGAATGCGCATCAACTGTTTTAGCGCTTCTAGACGCAAATTTCTTGCACAAGATAAACTCTAATTTAAATAATTGTTTCATTTTAATAAATAACGTACAGTTCAGTGCAATTTTCTGGCATTGTTTTGAATATCGGATATCGTAGGTTCAGTTATACGAACCAATGTTTCTAATAGTTATATATTGTACCTAGATTTAGGTCAGATCAACGTTTGGATATCGTTACACAATACACAGCATCCCCACTTCACCAATGCTGTTTAAAAGTAAAAACCGAAAAAATAATTACTAACGTTTATAACTATCAAGTTTGTCAAAAGTTAACATAATTTCTGATTTGTATGGGAGTATGGAGAATAGATAGAGCAATCTGCACTTTTTTATCTACTAATAAAACTATAATATAAAAACCGAACCCTATAAAATATAAAAACTTCATTAAAAAATTATCTAGGATTTCATAAGTGATAGACAGACAGAACTTAAGACTTGGCTTTTTTTACATCGCAAGTGCCTCCGAAGTACATCTTTAGCCTTCACATCCGGCGGAATTGCCGAGCGCTACCGACTCATTAGTTTTGTTTATAATAAAAATATATTAAATTAAAGAGAGCGTATCGATGTCATAACGGAACCAGGTTATTATTAGTAAATCAGATTTAAAAATATCTTTTTACTGTTAACCTCCTTTATAATGTTATCTCAGACTCTATTGACTATTAATCATTACATATGTACATTATATACTATTATGAGATTTTTTTAATAAAACTTTTCGCGGATTTATTTTGATTTCTAGTTCCCGACGTTTTGAATGCTTTACAGTAATCATGGTCACGGGAGAGAGTCTTTAATAGCTGTAAAGCATTCGAAACGTCGGGAACCAATATAAATCAAACTAAATCCGGAGAAAAAATTGAATTCGATAGTTTTATTTAAAATGTCAAATATTCGCGTAAATCTAAGAAAGAAGATATTATGAGATTTTAGTATTCAGATTTATTACTTTTGGTGACGAAGATAATTATTTATAATTAAATTTTATATTTTTATTGAATATGTAGCCGCTTTATTATAGCTTTATATTTGATTATTTTAATATATTAGAGTCTATTTCGTTTTGTATACTGTTGCCTGTTGGGCGCATCGCGTGCCGCCCGCGTACGTGAGTGTAGAGTTTAACTGCCACGAAGGCAGGAGTTTTTTTCATATATAAAATATATATTTCAGATATGTACGTTAAGATTTATTTATAGAATATAAATTAATTTTAGTATGAAGTATGTGTAATAGAGTTAGAAGATTTATTTTTACATATATGGATAGATACTTAACAATGCTATGTAATAGTTGTATGATATACAAGAGCATATATGAACAAACCTATAATTACATAAAGCCGTATAGGTTTTCATTATTATTGCATATTAATCGGGATTAAATGAAATTAACTAGTCTGTTAAATAGAGAGAAGTAATTAAGTAAAATATTCCAGGTATTTGTAAATATGTATTACATATTGATATTTTATGTTAAATTATTTAAGAAAAATAGTGACACATTTGGATGATTGACATTTTTAAGAGAAAATGTTCGAATATCGTTGGAGAAAAATGATACAACGACTGGTGGGCTCGGACAATTGACAGCTCACATGGGAACTCTCATGCAAATTGAGAAGGACTTCCAGTAACGTAATTTGAAACAAAATGAAAGTAAAAACTTTTACAGTACTGATTATATGAAAAGCTCAACAGGATGTAGAGAAATTTATTCATAATCAAATCTGTATAAAAATTAAGTAATAGGTATGTATGTGTAATTTATATTTTAAAACATTTGTTATTGAATTTTCTACTTATGACTGAAAAATTGGAAAAAATTGATTTTGATATTCCGGAAATAAATAAATAATTTTAGTCAATATATCAGATTAAAAAAAGTTAAATTTAATTCTTTTGTTCTGGTTCATATAAAAAATGTTTATAATTACCAAAAAAAAAGAAACGAATTAACTGTAGGTACTTTTTAATAGTTCATCATAAAAAAATACTTGGCATTTAAAGAGAATGTTCGTTAAGTTAATTCAAATCAAACTTTGGTTACTTTTGTTTCTAAGTTATTATTTTAATAATATACCACTTTATAAAACTTAAAGTAGTCCATAATTCCTTATACAGAGAGAACAATTACCAAAATTTTACCAATATAATATAGAGATTAATGATATTGTGTATCCTGTTTTCGGTAGATTGTAGTATTTATAACAGTGATTAATATTCTAACTCCTGGCGTATGAACGGAGGAAGCTATGCACAAAGCCGACATGGAAAGGGTATTAAACAGTGGCTTCAATGAACGGCCCAATAAGTTATGTAAAGTGCGAGTGCATCGCGTTACTACAACCCCTATATGGTTTGTAAGGGTTGGGGCGCATGCGCCTGCACTGTTGGCCGCGCACGGCATATGCGGAATATTAAAGGAGGAAAGAGAAAAAAATTAACTTGTGAAGCCATTTTCGTCTATCGGTACCCCCTCGCCCGCACGACTTCTCCAATGTTGGCAGAGCGCCTCGCGCGACTGTCGAGGATAAACGTCGATGCGGTCTCTCACTCTCGTACACTCGAACCGGTATTCTCGGTACATGTGATTACACGCTGTTCCACCAATAAATAATATTGTGCAGTGTTTTTTAAGAACTTTTAAATACTTCTCAACGTGATTCTCAGTGTTTAACGTCGTGCGTGTCTCATTTTCGAACTTTACCGTGAAGTGTAAGTTTTGAAAAGTTTTTGTGTTCATATTTAAGTGACGTAAACTGATTTAAGTGCCGCGTTGAGTCAATTGGATTTGTTGAAAAATAAACTTCAACTTCAAAGTTTTTGCCCATATTTGTGCAAAAGTATTGTTAAGTAGCTATTAGCCTGAGGTCAAAATAATAAAGGTAAGTAATAATACTAAAATTACGTAGTGTTATATTGTTATTGTTAATTGTTTTGGTTTCTTTGTAGATACTTTTTCCACGAATACCTTTATTTGGAACTTTCGTTTCCTAATAAATCTGATTTGTTTATGGCTTCGTTTTATTACTGTTTATTATCACATGCGCCGCCACAGTTACTTGTTTTTTATTATCTGTTTATGTTTTAACTTTAAACTAAAATTCTGGTAAATTATACGATATTTTTAACGGTCCACTTCTTATCATAAATTGTAGTGCAGTAGTAACTTTGTGATGTAAGATGGAAATTATTCGTCATGTTATTTTAATTTATTTTTTCCGTTTCACAGTTATTCTAATTTTTTAGTTGCAATAACAATAAAACTAAATTAGATAATCAGACACTAAAATTCCACTTAAATACAAAAAATGAGTCGCAGCTAATAACATATATGTATATGAATTTTTAGGCCTGTCATAAATAATTTTTAGTTATTTATGGTTTAATAACGATGGAAGAGAGCACTCTAAAATAGACAGCCGCAATAAAATTCCGTACTGCTTCTAATAAATTATCGGAAGACGTTCTTTTTATAGGAGTAACGAATGGTGAGATGAGTAATGGCACAAGTTTTACCAATAAATCATGCTTTCCCCGTTCGAGTGGAGCTTCCGCCTTGGGGTTGTATTTGGCAAGAGATCACCTTACTTGTTAGTTTTGTCAGACACTTTTATCTAATGTCTGCAATCAACGATGGAAAACATATAGCTCACTTGGCATTATATGTTTGTTGAACAACTTTTATTTGCGCTCTTTATATGCGTTCTTTATATAAGTGGTAGGCAATGCCCGCTTTGCACTATTCATTCTACATTTATTACTTTGCTATCTGCACCTTTTCTATTTGTTAATCAATTAAAGGTGTGGCCTATTATAGTTTGCCTGAGTTTTGTAAAAAAAATATTGATAGAAGCTTTTTACCTTAAATGGAAATCTTGAAAGAAGTTAGCGTAGACTTATTGAAAATTATTGCTTTTTCCTACAAACATACATGTTGCGTTAAGAAAATAAAAGTGCTAAATACACCAGAAGCCGATGGGCCGTGAAATGACGTGTCAGAACCGAGATAGTTGATGAACTATTGTTTAGAAATGTGGAGATGTAACCGTGGCTCGACTTCTATTGGTATTGGATCAATCGGTTTTGGAAAAGCTATTCAGCTATCAAAGGGTTTCATTAAATGTGTTCTATTTGAATGTTCACGAGACAATTTGTGAGGTCTGAAGGCAGCTGTAATTTAAATTCGATTAATAAAGTGGGTTAAATCGGGTTACGTTTGTTCCCGATCAAAACGAATCAAAGTCCATCCCTTGTTTATAGCTACAAAGGTTTACTTAATTATTTATTGTATCGAATTGACGTAAGCGTTTATATATCCCCTTGAATTTGTACTGACGTTAATAATTGACAATTTTTTGCTTATATTAGCCGTTAATGCACATGTATGTATATGCATATTATAAGCTGATATGATAGGCCTACTCCTGTCAAAATTTCTATAAGTTGAGTTTCGTTGATCCAAAATAGTTGAGTTCATATAAAAGCTCGACAAAAAAAGTAAATCAGTTTTTTTTAAATTTGCCAATTTTCTAGCTAATTTTTAATTGTTTTTCTCTAAAATTCAAGTTATTAGGAAAATTTTAAAAGAATAGCCAAATCGGTCCAGTAATTCTCAAATGACACGCTTACTAATGAAGAGCATTTCATTATTGTATGTATATGTTAATATATGTATATAAATAGTTTGTTAGTATTGTTGTGGTTTCAATTTTTAATGCGAAATTTTGTGGTTTGTCTGTATGCGATACTTTATTGCGCGTTACTCAATAAATGGTTTTTCCAAATCATGATTACATGTCCAGTCTCTATATGTTTTTTTTTCAAAGTTCACGTAAATTAACATATAAGTTAAGAGTTGTATAAATATAAAACTCACATCAGAATTCACTAGCATTTACTGAAACGGATAAAGAATGAAAGTAATTATTGAAGCTTTTTGGCTTTAATGAGGTGAGGGTGCTGCTGTATCGTCATGGAAAATATTATCGGTAATAAAAAGGCGTTCCCACGTTAACGGAAGCAGGCACTGGATTGCCACGCTTCGATACTCAGCTCTTTCACTATTGTCCCTTTGTTCCTACTTATTCTCGTCAAGCTCTCAAAAGAGCGGCGCTCAATTCAATGGATCTAGTTTGCCGCACTTAATTCGTATTGCATTATTGGTTCCACACCATAACATTTTCTTTATTTTCCTCGTTCTGTTATCATATAAGAGTTGATGTGAAGTATAATGATTTTTGAAGTAATGTAAATTATTATGTGATTCAATAAACTTCTATATTTTGGAATTTAAGCCAGCAAAATATCTCTCAAGATGAGCAATAAAAGAAACTATTTTTAATACCATTTCTAATGGTTTATCTCAATCATAAAGATGAAAGGAATAAAATAAAATATCACATGCCAAGAGATTTAATCTCTAATATTTTTTGCAAGAATTAATTAACAGTCCGTATTGCTTCGTTTGCGAACACAACAAGCAAAATTTGCATTCTTGTTCCTGTTTTACCTCAACAGTTAACTTGTCTTAGACCACCCGCGATGCTGTGCTCCCATAATTTAATACGAACTTTATTTCAACGTGATAGAATTCCGTAGAGTTTGCACGTGAACTCCACACCGATTTGCTTGCAATTCTGTATAATCATCTTAGCTGCTCAAAACATTTTACAAAAGATTTCGGAATTACAGATTACAAAAATGAATACGATCTTTGATACCTGTGAAAAATACAAAGAGGAAATCTTCGTAATTGCGAAATCGGATGAAAATCTTAATACGTTTTTTAATGTTTTCCAACATCTCGAATAACAGTTGCAGCATTCGAATCTCATTAGCGAAGAAAATAAAGAATAAAAACTTGGTGTAATAAATTTTGCGAGGCTCAAGTCGAAACGCTTACGGTTCCTTTTAATTTGGTTGCTATTGTTGAGGCGTCCCGCTGGGCGCCGCCCGTTGGATTTCTTGCTGGAACTCCAGCCGATTCAAACATTAGTTACTTCTTATTAGTCCATTACGAATGGAAATTAAATTTTATGTTCAATGTTATGAATGTTCCAAACACAAATGGCCTGATTTGTTTAGAATTGTAGACAAAGTGGATATTAAGTGGCAGGTATCTTAGATATATCAGAGCGATTTCGTGGGAATTAAAAAAAACAAGTCGCTACCGCAAAAGGTTTTCTTAGAAACGATATTTATTTAAACGATCTCAGTTGAGGGCTTAGCCGCCGGGGGCCATATGAGCAAACCCAATGACTTCGCATTATTATATTGACGCGGCAAGTCTACACTCTGATAAAATTAATAGATGTCCGGCTATCGATGGCAGCGATAAATTTGTCCGTATGTGGAAAGGCACTAGACAATCAATCATGTGCCGGTAATTGAAAACATACAGCTGTGTTTTAACGATAAGGTTATAACTAATGATAATAATCAGTCTGATCGAGAGTTTTTTCACTAAACTCAAAATAAAAATAGATTGAAATACAAATATGTACATTATACATACATATATACATTATCGAAGTCTTTGATGAAAGTAAATGTTTATTTGTCGTGTTTAACGACTCATTTTTAGCTGACGATAACAGAAATTGTTAAAACTCTAAACACATGTTCTGTGTATTGACACCAAATGTGGCACATCTGTGTGATAGAAGAACGTGCCATTTTGGGGCTATAATAAAATTCCCACAAGTAAAATTGAATGAAAAAATGGTTCGCCTCGGCCCCTTCTCAACTCACAACAAACAAGCAGGTAAGCGAATCTTTACGATCCTTTGAGAATGAAATATGCACCGAATGCTGAAGAACTTTGCATTTTATTACAACAGAGTAGAAAATAAACCAATTGTGACATCTGGAAACCCTTACAATTCTTAAAGAATAAGAGAGAAATAACTGTATTTTACACACAAACTATATATTTTAGTAAATTGTCAGTACGATATACATTTAACATTATATAAGTATATAATTATTATTTATTAGGATACAGTACGTACAGAATTATTCGTCTTTGTAGGTATAGACTAAAAATTTATATAAAAAAAGTATTTGGGGGTAGTCGTACACAATTTTTAACTATAATATTAAAGTCTTTACACAGAAGGAATGTATCAAGGGAGTGTCTGTTAGTTTGTTACTTTTTCACGCTGCAATGACTCAACAGATTAGGGAAAAAAGTCAGCATGGAAATAGCTTAAATTTTAAAAGCCATATATGTATATAAGTTTTTCAATGTGTCGCTAGCAAGCAAGCAAACTAGGTAGTTAGAAATAATTTACCGACACAAACTAACAGCTCATAAATATCGGCGTAAATATTTGGTCTCATCATTGTAGCCTTCAAGTTGGAACCGACTCGGTAACATTCCAGTCGTACGTCAATAAAGGACCAGCGGTAAGTATCAATAGCGTATGGGAAAGTGTCATGAAGTGTGATATTTTGACCGTTCTTATACCATTTCCACATATGAATTGACGTCTAAAAGTTTCGAACTCACTATTATATCAGTAAATAAACGGATCTTCTATATTATTAGTGTTATGTTACCTTTCGTTTGAAAATAAATAATCGTAAAGTAAACGTTGTGTAAGGCGTCAAATGAAAAATCATTGGGAATTGTCAATAATACTTGTGATATTTATATAAATTTACTAATAAACCTATGGAACACTCTACTGTAAGAAATAATAAAAAGAGAGGCAATGTAGAGTTTTCTATTGTTCTTTT